CTGCACATTCTAAAAGTTGACTGGTAGAGAATGCTTACAGTATTAAATCTGTTTTTGTAATACATTTTTTAAAATTTTGTTAGTGAATAAAATTTAAAAAATAAATAAAGAATTTATTAAATCTTATGTACCATAATTTTACAACCCTTATCTACCGCAATCGTACATTTATATCCTCTACATAGTTTTCATTTCAACCTAGCTTTTTGCCCGTTATGAATTTACATAAAATTACATTTACATGTGAATTTCAGAAGCAATAAAGCCAATGAAATACAATACTTCTGGTGGCGTATCAAGAGAAAATATATACTCAATTTTAAGTTACATTTTCAGGAACACTGAAACGAATACTGAGATAAAAACCGCATCTAATTTGGTGTAATTATTTTTGCGCGATGCCAGAACAAATAAAGAGATAGGTAGATAGATTGAATTTCTAAAAGTATCTTGGTTTTAATTGCTCTTACATATTAATTTTCCTTAAATACCTCCCATGTACAAATATGATCAGGTTATAATTTTATTATAGGTATATCAGTAACATTTTCATTGCTTTTAGTACTTTCTGTGTTGTAAGGAACGCGAGGTATTCACCTCATGCATGAGGTACGTATTCATTAGTTTCTGATAACAAGCTGACAACTGGCTCCTTGATTACCATTGTTTTGGTAAGGGAGTACTAAGGTCAGAGGGCCGGGACAATGGACCGGAGTCCGAAGGGCATCTCCCATCTTTACGGTGGATGAGCGTGCCAAATACGAGGGAATGTATTTAGTATTCAAGTAATTTATGATAAAAATTTCATAAGACAATTATCATATTATGTTTTTTATAATTTAATCATTTAAGATTGTGTTCCGACTTCAATCGTGGCAAAACCAGTTATTGTGAATTAAAACCAAACTACTGAAACGTTTTTGATGAAATTTCTATTGGACCAATCAGTAAATATATTTTTTCAATAAAAAAAAAATCCAATTCACTTTATAAACGTGAGATAAAAACATAAAAAAATACAACCGAATTGACAACCTTCTTCTTTTTGAAGTCGGTTTTAAAATAAATTATCCCGATTATAATGTTTATTTGCATTACAAGGAAGAGAGAGCTTACATTGTTCTAATGATGATGATGGTGATGAAGCAATTATTAATATTTAAAAATAAATTATTGTTGTGTTCACCGGAAATTAGGTTATGTTACAACATGATTACAATTTCTAATGTAGTAATCAGAGACATCTGTCGACTATTATGGTGAACGCCTGACATGCTCTAACACCGATTATTGGGGGGAAAGGGATTGTTAGTAATGGAGACTGAGAATCCCAATATACCCAACCAGGTCGACCTCCTCGCGGTTCTTCCTGGAAACTATCATGGTTAATTCCTGATGAATTCATCATAATAGGCTAACTGGCCTGTTTTCATTCTCATCTATCACCGTTCACTGGTGCTCCGCCAGCGTATCCCGTTAGCGCAGGCGGAGTTACCATTCCATTTTCACCCATCAAAAAAAAAAAAAACACCGATTATTTATTTATTCTTGGAATTACATATTGGGTTCGGAATTTTAAATTTAATGAAATTATCATTTCAGCTGTTTACAGTCTACCGTATGACAAATTTCATATTGATCGATTGAACAATTGAAGCGTCAAATAATTATAAATAAACTCACTTTTGTATTTGTAATAATAGTAAGGATACAATATGCTGGGATTACCAAAAAAATTAATTGCACTAATTATGAAAAATAATAGTACCTACAAGATTTTATAATTTGGAAGGATTCAAAAACCCATGTGAACCGTAATAAAAAGTTCCGGATCTGGAAAAACCTGTATGTAGGCAAGCGAGCTGAGTACAATCATGTACATACAATTGAATCTAAATAGGTAGACATGTAGCTGATGAGGTCGTGGGACATCTACAGGCATTGTGGCCATAGCCACTTTGATGGTATCGTCAGCTTGCTCGCGCTTTGTTCACAGTGATTTATGACACGGAAACTGAATTATTATTTCCGAATATTTTATTGAATTTCCACATTATGATAATATAAATAATAATAAATACAAATTATTAAATTTGACATTAGACAGAGGCATCTAGCTTGGAATTCACTTGATTAAAAATAAAAAATCTTTTTAAGTCTGAATGCAATACTTACAGCAGCATTATTTCTGAATCGATACGACATCGTAACCTTTAAGGAAAGAGCATATTCCTTTTTAAAAGGTCGGCAGAACACCTGCAATGCCTTTGGTGTTGCGGATACTCATAGACGGCAATAGTCACTTACTATTAGGTGCGCCGCATGTCAATTTGCTCCCTTCTAAGTCCAAATTAAATAAATTTTAACCAAAAACTATGAGTACTTATTCAATTCACACTCTCTCTCATACTCAAGAATACAAATGTTTATATTATATGGGGATCGAAGCCTCGATCATTGAACACTTGCGGCATTGTGTTAAATACCTACATCACCAAAGACCGTCAAAACTATGATGGATATAATATACTATATATTGTAAAATATTATATATTGATAGATATTATATATACATAGGTACCTTTTTATACATTGGGAGAATCTCTAATGCGGATTCCCTAGTCCTGGGGGAGGCGGATAGGCACTGCTAAAGTCCTACCGGCTAGTACCTCATGGTTTTTTTTAATGAATGAAAATGAAATAGTGACGTCGCCTACGCTATTATCATATTGCCGGCTGGCTAATATATAATTTACCCCAAAAATGAAATAGGCAAAACCTGAAAATATTATTTCTACTTCTCATGCTAAATTAATCACGAGACCGCGTGATTTGTATGAAAATTACAACTATTATTTTGAGAATTAGAATTTTATCCTTTAAATCTTATGCAACCATAAAACATAGTGTGGAACTATAATAAAAATAGATAGATAATAACCCCCTTATTCATAAAACTAAAACCTCCTATTTTAATTATTACACAGTTTAGTCACTTTCATTTAAACAAAGAATTTAGGGCAAAAGAAAGAGACAAAACAAACAATAAATAAAAATGAAGCAGTTGTGTTTGCATGGCTGTGTTTCGGTTTGAAGGGTGAGATATGGCGTGAATTTACAGGGTACAGAGGAATAATACCTGAGTCCTCAGGAATGGTAATGCAAGGGGGGTATCATGGGCGAAACAGTATACTCTGTTATGTCCATAGTACTGCTCATGTCTATAGGCGACCGTTACCACTTTTCATCAGGTGGGCCGTCAGCTTGTTTGCCATTCTAAGTTGTATAAAAAAATACCGTAGGTAACAGTACCACTAACAGATACATTCCCAAGGATGGTTGACATAATAGGAGGCCGGTTGTAAAACCAAAAGACAAAACCCGGAGTCATATACATTAAAACAAATTATACCGATCCCAAATAATTGAGACAAGGACAGAAAAGTGATAATAAATACTTAAGTATAGAACAGTAATAGTAACAATAGCGCCTAACCTAAAGTAATAGCAAATATGTATACTGCAACCTTATCTAAGAATGTAATTTTCTCTCACAAGTCTGTGAAATATTAGAAAAAATTCAATTTATTCATTTACGAGGAAATTATTAGATAGATATACTTAGATTGCTTATTACTATCATGAGAAGATTCAAATATTTGTTTAGAATAATTTTTCTTACTAGATATTAAACTGCTAAAGAAGAAAAACTGCTGAGACCTTAAATTGTGTTTAACGATATTATTTTATATATTAATTGATCTGAAAGATGGCAATATTACTGCCAAAATAATACAAAATGTTGTTATATTAAGTATACTATGGTGTGTTTCTAAACAAAATGAACATGTAACCAAATTTTGTTGAAATTAATACAATAACACTCTCTAAATAAAATTAGTAACGAATCTATGCTTTAATTTAAATTTTTGATTAATACTACTATTAAAGAACAGTATCTTATTTCTAGAACAGAAAAGGCAATAAAATGTTATCAGACATAATTTTTTGTTTCAGAATATAATTTTTTTATGTCTGGTAACCATAAGATCATAGAGAGGAAAAATTTTGAGAGAAAGAGAGGTAGATATTAGAGAGAATAAATTAACCTTAATGGTTTGTTTGTTTATATTAAGTATTATTGTAAAAGATCATAGATATACAAATGTACACCTTACGATGTATGCGAATTATAAATAAAGTAGGATCCATCATAGGAGGTAGTAAATTTTATTAAAATAAAAATGAACAATTGAATTTTGACACGTTATATCCGTTCTGTTCTTACCACTTTCTCTTCCGTGAGTGTCTTTAGAGGTAACTAAGAGAACAGTCGAGGGATGGGCAGTAGCGTTCCTCTTAAAACATCACCAAAGCCTAACTGGGGTTGCCAACCCATCTGCCAATCGTGACTACTACTGGTAAAAGTTTCTTTATGGAGAAGACCTATGTTCAGTAATGGACAGTTACGGGTGATATAACAAAAATAGAAAAGGAATATCCGTTATATGCTGTAGGAAGATATAATAGCTAAATATACGCAAGCTGATCTGAACCCATTGGATTTTAAGTTTTCCTTATGCACTAAGTATATTGTGTCTTGTTCCTCAAACGTCTCTTACTACCTCTTCGGGATGAAGAGCAATGGTGATAATATAGTATTCTGATACTAAATAGAATTAATTATGTCACATATTTTTCACCACATCTGCTCTTCATACGCTTTCTATTTTTACCTGATGGTTAGCTGGTAGCTCCCAAAGAGGGTTGACGTCAGGCAGGCGGCCAGTTGTAAAACTATAAGCTAAATCCTTTTGTAATATGGATAAAACCATATTACGCCGACCCCAAATAATAATTGGGATAAGGGTAGGAAGATGATGATGATGATGGTTAGCTGGTAGAGAATGCCATATAGCATTCCACTTGTACAAGGTTTTACTGTGCAATAAAGAATAAATAAATAAATTAGATATTAATGGAAATCAATGAAATACCAGTTTGTTATTTATGTACAATCATTTATTGGATACAGCTTACAGCTAATATTAATCTATCAGTTCATTAAGATTTCACTAATTTAAGAGAAAAGACAGGTAATGTTATTATGTTTTCATAAAAATTAGGTAATAATTTTTTTAACAATTTTACATGATTTTCATTTGAGATTGATATCATAAAATTGTGCAACATTGACATTTGAAGAAATAGTTGTATATTTACTATAAATTTCATAAAATTAAGATAATTTTGGACGTAATAAGTTTTACTTAATAGTAATATATAAACCAAATCATGAATTTTAAAATGTATAGAATAATAGTTTAATCAAAATTTGTTAAAACAAATTTTGATTAAAAATGAAAATTATTTTTTGAAATTTACGTGAGGATTTAGACAGAATAGCAGAGAAATTTAATTACAATATTTACCTAAAGAAAATTTATTATTAAAGGCAGTGTTATATTTTATTAGATTATTTAGCTAATAGTTACTGAGCATCACAATTTAGTCAATATGTCTACTTAACCTAAACAATTTACAGAGCATTTATACTTATATATATTCGTCTGGTAACTAACTTAATCACGACATATTATATTTATATTAAAATTTAAAATTACTTATATGAATTTTAATATAAATAAAATATATAATTTTATATTAATACGAAGCGTGTAAATTGAATAACTGATGATCATTATGTATTGTTCATATGAATATGATTTATTATGATAAAAAATATTAGGTAATATAATTTGGCAGAACTAAATCTAAATTTCTAAACGTGGTGTAAAGCAAAACACAAAAAACATTTTTTTTTAATGTAAAGTAACATAAGGAGTAGGTACCGTATTCGTGCATGCACGTATATGCACGTCGACAATTCTATTCGATTTTCAGTACTTTTAGAATAACTAAACTACATAGAACAAATGGTCAATTTACAATTCAGTTAAAGTTCAAATAAACCAAATTCGAATTATCTAATTGGTAATTGAATTATCAATTACCAATCAATGAAAAACTTATACTTTTTTTAACATTTATTTTTTTTACTGGCAGTAATAATAATATTATTATCAAAGGATTATTTATAACAGACTGGAAATACAAAAGTGATTTTAAAAAGCCACTTCTTTACTTTTCTTCAAAAGCCATTTCATATGAATCGTAATATGCTTTTTCGTATAATCCGCCGACATCTTGCTGAGGGGGAGGAGAGGGAGGCAAGGATAGTTAGTAATGGGTCTAACTGCTTCAGCACTTGTAATGTACCCTAAACAAAATAATAACAGCATTTACATAGAGGATCATCAATCTACCACTAAATTCAGATAGAAAAGACAGTCGGTAACAAAAGCTTATAATAAGCAGAGTTGTGGTGTTCAGAGTCCAGAGTTGCCGCAGTATTCGCCGATCCGGTCGGATATACACTCGAATATGTCAAATGAGACATCGCAGTTTCGGCCATTATCTGGAAACAGAAGTACTTAAATTAGAGTTGTAGCATTTTTATAAAGTATCGAAGTTTTATTTTTAGAAGTGGCAACATTTCTATTTGTTATGTCATTGAGATGACAATGGAGTCGATTCCGAAGCACCAGTTCTGTAATCCTATCTCTCTAACAATTAAAATTCCAATTTGATATAACAGCAAAATCTTTTTTGTAAGGATAATTATGTAATAATTTTATATTATGATTTCAGTTATGATTACTATAATTTTAGTTCATAATAGTCTATAAATCAGTAATTTTTCGAAATTATTTGATTTAAGTTAAGAGAAAAGTTTAGACTAATGTCATCCCAGAATGTTTCATAACCTCTGAGATGTGGTATAAAGATTTCTGTTAATATAGGCGACTATATATTATAAGCGACGATAACCATTTTCCACCAGACGGGTCGTCAGCTAGTTTCTGTTATTTCAAGCTGCATGTCATGGCATGGGCATGAATCAGTATAGTAAGTAATGAATCTAATGCTACCTCGTGAATTAATAATTAATCGTTGGAAACGACAAAAGCACAGTGAGTTCATTAATTTTCCGTTACATGGTAGACGTCGAATAGAAAAATAACATAAGTTTTAAAAATAATTATTTTTATTATTATTAGAGTTGAGTCTGCGCATTGCGGATAGGGGCCATGATCGCCGTTCTGGTTCGTATCTGGCTCAAAGGATATCTCTGGCAATCTAACACGGAAATGCCGCAAGTGTCATGGGGACCTTTGGGTCGGGTACGGATCATAAATGGGACTGATCATTAATTTTTTTTTTGTGATTCTATGAAATATATTAGTTTAATATATATTATAGATTATGTAAGTAAATATATTCATAATTAGACTATGTATTAATTTTAATCAGGCTGTTATTTAAGTAAAAATTGTATAAAATTTAATTGACAATAAATTTAGATATTTAAATTATTTGATTATTAATACTTTATTTCACCATCATATGTTTTTATTAAAAATTTTATTTTTAAACCTATGTTTTCATTAAAGTGTCACTGGAGTCACTAAAATGAACAGTGACAATACTCGTAATGTCAACTAGGTTCGAACTCATAATCTTCAGTGTTACATGGATACATACAAGGATTAATAATTATATTAAAATACAATTCTCAAAAAAAATAATTAAAGAATTCTAAATAAGAGAATAGATATAATCTCTGTCTATTGCATTATCTGTGGTAGTAATATGATTGTATGGTGGTATACCCATGGGCATTGTCCTTGAGAATTTGTCGTGGTTTCTCATGAGGCACTCTCTGGACGCCTCCAGTACGGCCATGAAGTATCCCCGCTCGTTCACACCATCAGAGTACAGTCCCACCAAACCTTCAAGGGTTGGGAAGCCATAACTGTCCACCTGAAAATGTTAATTTAATTTATAACCTCACTCAACATAGCTGAACAATAAACAACATGGTTGAAGTAGTAATATTGACATGATATGACGTAAAAGTGTAGAAAAATTTTACGTTGTGGTTGTCCAGTGGCATTAGTTCATATTACTAACGATGCTTTCCCCTCTGGGTTTTTTTTGTCTATAAGTTTTTTGGCAATTTCCTAAAATTTATTACCTATAATAAATAAAAAATATAAAATACTATAGAAAATTTATTATTACTAAAGTTGTAAAATAGGCAAAAGACTGTGTTAACTGAACACGAGTTTAGAATATGGAATTAACATAACGGGAAGGTAAATTTTCTTGTCTGATATATTTTTTTACAATATAAAAATAAGTCATAAGTAATTTATAATACTATCCGTTTACTGTATTCGGAATCCAAATAAAGGCAGAGTTAAATACTTGACCATGTCAAGAACGGACCTAAATATTCCTATAAAATTATATTGAAGACTTAAAGCCGACAGCCATTATTGCTGTAGATTATATATAATTCTTATAGTATTGAAATATGTATTATTTATCTTAATATATAAAAGTCCCGTGTCAGGATGTCTGTTCACATTGATCTCTGAAGTTGTTCAATTGATTGTATTGATTTTTTTATCATGTATTATTTGTAATCAATTCAAATTTTCCGTCTATTCATTGTAATGACGAGAAAATGGCTGAAGAGATTTTAAACTAAATTCGAAATGTAATAGGCAATTTAAAAACTGGTTTTAATTATTGTATAAATTGAATCACTATTTTATCAGAATTGGTCGATGGAATCGTAAGATATATCTTGCCCTTTCTATTTTTAAAATTTCAACTTAGAGATTTTCATTAAATCATATTATTCAATAAAGATTTTTTGTAAATACATTATCTAGGGTTACAAAAAAAAATTTTAGACAATGTTACTATCAAATTATCATTTAGTCAGTAGTCACACTTGGCAACTGCAGTTAATCTTTGGTGATGTTCAAGAGGGACGCTGCTGCTCATACCTCGACGATTAAGTTCTCTTAGTCGACTGTTACAACACCCACGGGAAAGAAGGTGGTGACCCATTCTATGCCTGGACCACACGGTAATCAACATATAGGATTATAATTTTTTTTTTATTTAATTAATTAATTAATTCTACTACTATGCACACGAAGCCGGGGCTACAACTAGCGAGAAATAAAACGCAAATTACCAAGTGTTCGGGTGGGCATTTATAGCTGTAATATTTCTGTTGAAGTAATTTTTTTCATGAGCAATAAATAGACAATGACTTTTTCTTTTTTATATTTACGACCCGGTCCGTATTTTTATAGTTAACAAATTGGAGCAATCAGCTTGTGACAGAACCATAAAGCATTGAAACTTGATTTGAAACGAATTTTATATATGATTTTTAGGGATCTGCATTTCTACAATGTGCACAAAGAATAAAGGTAATTATTTTATTTAGGGTGAAATATAAATCATTAAATCCTATTAAGGGGTGTACTGTTAATGGTTTTAGACATGTTCGAGTATTCTAGTGTATTACACTTCCTTAATATTATATTAAATGGAAGAGAATGTTTTTAGCATTAAATCCGCCTCGTACACATACCTGTGCTAAAGAAAAAATAAAAAAAAAAAACATAAAATAAAAATGACAAAAAACTTAAGCTCCCCTGCTAAAACGCTGCCCCATTTACACTCCGTAGTGCGATTATTCTGTTCGTTATTACAGCAGCTAAACTATGCTGCTATCGATGCTAGTGTTTTAAAATTAATGCCATACAAAATATTTAAAAAATCTTTTATTTCTAATGGACAATATTAGCAATCGCTCATAGAAATGATCAGTACTCGTTAAATATTGTTGAAAAAAAAAAAAGATTGTAGCTAAAAATCAAAAGTTATAATCAATTTACGTATTTAAGATTATTTTCTAGGAGAGGCTTGACCTCTTATAAAAAGCGTATATGTACTCTCAGATATCGTCATAGTCGTAGAATACTGACGGATCTTTATATCGTCATAGTCGTAGAATACTGACGGATCTGACAAATATTACATATATAGATTCGTCAGTATTCTACGACTATGACGATATGTCTCTGCGAAGCTTCTATCGCTTTCTGGAGTGGGTACCGGACAATTTGAGGTGGGCATGACCCAACCGCCTCCTCCCCTTAAATACACATATTATCGTAGGCAGTTAGTCAAAAAAACATTCAAAACAAAAGAATTGAAACTTTACATATATCTAAGGAAAATATTAACAGCACCCTCGATATGCGAATTTGATTCACGCTTGGTCTTCTTTTATTATATTATTTACGCAGTCAACTTCGATCTCTTATAAAAATATACACTTAATGCTACATACAATAAATGCTTCGTTTTTATTAATTAATTTTAATCCTATGCTTATTCTATTTTTAAGTGTAATAAATAATAGGATTGTGTTTCTCGAAATCGATTATAAAAAATAATACAGTTGGAGTTGGCAATGCAATAATAGAACTTGGCGAAGCACAACATAAATTTATGTAAAGTTGTGAAAGGTTTTCAAATACAAATATACTTTTTTTTTAATGGGTGAAAATGGAATGGTAGCCTCGCCTGTGCTAACGGGATACGCTGGCGGAGCACCAGTGAAGGGTGATAGATGAGAATGAAAACAGGCCAGTTAGCCCATCATGATGAATTCATCAGGAATTAACCATGATAATTTCCAGGGGAAACCGCGAGGACGTCGACCAGGTTGGGTATATTGCTAGCAATGGGATTCTCAGTCTCCATTACTAACAATCCCTTTCCCCCAAATACAAATATACTTAGTTTACTAAAGGACATTACCAGCAAATTATCTTGTTTGTAGAGAGTAGGATAGAAATAATGTTTATAATTTTTTTCTCGATAAACTCGTTCTTTATATATTTTTGGATGACTACATGTTTGGATGTTTAAAAGGCAGTATACGAGTAGATATGAATAAAATTTAGTTAAATTGGTAATTAACACATACGATAATTTTTATATACAAAATTAATCCAAGATTTACATGTACAATGAGCCCCATGCCGAGGTATCCCCTAGAGCTATATACAATTCTTCAAAAGGTAAATAATTAGTATAATAAATAAATAATATAAATAAATAAATAAATAATAGTAATAATAAGTAAAATATATAAGGTTTCTTTAAGATCGGCAACGTGCACGTAACACCCCTAGTGTTGCAGGTGTCCACAGAAGCTACATTGATTGTTTACCATTAGACGAGTTATATGCTTGTTTGTCACCTTTGTGGTATAAAAAAAAATCCATATAAAAGTTACACTTAAAACTGTTCCAAATATAAATAAAAAAAGGAATCCAAATCCAGGACATGCGTGAGGTTGCACGCAATTAAATAAGAAATTACATGTATTGTAAAGATTTTATATCTTTACAATACTTATAAACAAGTTTGACTATAAACGTCGCTGAATGCCAAGAAATTAGTGTAAAGTTTACAAATCCGCTCTACATTTTCTGCCTTTATTCATCTTTGATTGTGTATCAAGTAAGTCAATCGGCAAACAATTATTGTACCTGCATGGTAAAAACACAACATAAAAGATAGAATTAAACCATGACGTTTCAATTATGCTTTTAATTAGCGTGAAAAGTAGAGTCGAGATAATTTATAGAGTGACACGGTACTTACAGCTTTCACTTTTCGGTAGACGCACTGCAACAAACACTGTAACAAAGAAAGACAATATAGAATCTCTCCAATCTCGTAAACGACAATCGAACTCTGTCATTGTATTTCCAATAATTGGTATACATATGGGACTATGCTATAATTATATACTTAGAGAAACACATGGAAAACTTCACACCAATAAAAAAGTAACGATGGAATACTATGGAATTCGAAATGAAGTTATTGTTTTAGTTTTCATTTTAAGAGTGTGTGAGTTAGGAAATATTCCTTTTTTTTTTAATTAGTGGAGTTCAGGTCATATATATGGAGCGTTGAATGTAAAAAGTCACTTAAATACTTTTATGTGAATTCAGATATTAAAAATGTATTTATATATTTCACGTACAATAAAATCCAGACTAATACAAATGGATATACTCAATTATATTATTATAATATCAGCTGTTAACTGCCCGCTGCTGAACATAGGCCTTCCCCTTATAAGGGAAGTTTCACCATTAATTGCCATGCTTGGCAGGTGGGTTGGGTTTAAGTTGAGCAGTTAGGTTTAAGTGGTGTTTTAAGAGGGACGCTGCTGCCTATCCTTCGATCATTAACTTCCCTTAGTCGACACCCATGAGAAAGTAAGAGGTGGTCCATTCTATGCCGGGACCATATGGTATATATACTCAATTAATTATAAATAATTGCGCGGATTGAACCCGCAACTTTAAAGTGAAGTAGTGTTTTAAACCACTACACTACCACCAGCTGTTTGAGCTGTGGTTGTAACTGTACAATTTAAAGTAAAAAATAAAGTATCAGTAAATGACCCATTTAAGAATGACTTCTAATAAATGTAATGGTGGATTAATGGAAAAGACGTGTCATTTATTTATTCATACTCACTCCAGCGATTCGTTTTTCGTCATGGGAAAATGGGACCTCTCGCTTGTTTCGCCGCCTCTCTGCCGGCATGGTGTGCTCCTCTTTAATGACGTCCAGGGCCTCTGTAAATTACATACAATTATTATCAGTAACCATAAGGGAATCATTTATTGATTACAATAGTCCTCTTAGCATAAAAAAAATTAAGCTTTCGATAGATGGGTATTGAATACATGTCTAGATTCCTTACTACAAAAGCGTGTCTAATGTCCTTTTATGTCTAAAGAAAAGTTTGTGTTATTTAAAATAAAAAGTATTTATAAAAATAAATGTTATTAAAATAGTTTACAAACTTCGCATATAATCATCATTATATCTGCTAAAGAATGTTTAGTCCCTTATTTAAACTATTTTCTTATTATTATAGTAAGACCTATATGGTATTGTTTTTATATTTTGGCTTTCTACTGTCAACTATTTGTATTTGCTTGGCTGTGTTTCAGTGGAATATATAGGAATTGGCAGTGAAATTACATGGTATGGGAACTTAACATCTTAGTTGTAAAAATGGCAATACAACAGCAGCAGAAGAGAGATGAGATGGTAACACCATCTATTAGTACGCTAGCGCGCAATTAATTGCGAGGCAAATAGAGAAAAATGGAAGAGAAAAACATATTGCACCGACTCCAAATAATAATTAGGATAAGAGTAGGAAGATGGTGAGTATACAAAAAGAACAAACTATAAGATGGCGTTCTAAAATACCAACTTCAGTTGTGACAAAATCAGATATTTTGATTAAGAAACTAAACTACTAAATCGATTTTGATAAAATTTCTGATCAAACTGTAGTATAAAAAAATATTAATCGGTTTATAACTAAAGGAGTTCTAAGGTAACAAACATAAAAAATATAACCGAATTGAGAAACCTTTTTTTTATAAGTCCTTAAGTATTTAGAAACGAAATGAACATCAATGAGTTCCTATATGGTCAACTGCCATAGCTTTCTCCTAGAGCATCACTGGTTTTTTTGCCAACAAAGGTCCCGGTTGTAGGCGGGAAACAGGTCATTTTCTTCATATATTTCTACATAGTTAAATAGTCAACTGCATTGAGGACTATTTACTCAGTTTGTAAGCATTCAACCGAAGATATATTGGCGGTAATTCGATGTTACAATATCCTACAGCACCGCCGGTTATGCGCTACGCAATCTTCCTTTATTGGCAATTGATTTTGAAACACACGCAGTATTTCTACTCCCGTGTTGGTATTGGGCCTGAAATAGGCGTGGACGTCAAAGTTTTTGTAATTACCTTAGTATGTTCTAGAACATATTTAGTTTCCGAGTTCGAAACCAGTATCAGTATATTTTGGTTTGAAGGTTGGGATATGCTAGTGTTTGCCGTGTGATCCTGGTATAGAATGAGCCACCCCTTCCTTCCTCGTGGATGTCGTAAGAGACGACTAAGGGAGGGCGAGGGATAGGCAACAGCATCCCTCTTAAAACATCTTCAAAGCCTAACTGCGATTGCCAATCCAAAACCAAAACCAATGGCAGTTGTCCAAGCATGACAACTCCTGGCAAAACCCCCCTAGGGGGCTTATCGCCAGCAGTGGACAATTAAAGGCTGATATGCCGATGAATTAGTACTTCAATATTTGAAAAACAATAACGATTTTCACAACTTAGTTAAAATAAGCACTCTGTCCACTCTTGTATTAATGAAAAAATATGTTTTTATTGAACTAGATCCTATAAACTGCTCTTTTTTAGGTCCATATTTCATTAAAACTCATTTTCCCAATTTTATTAGTTCGTATGTAAAATATCAGATATAAATAAAATAAACATAATGAATTAAATAAACAAAATTTTTTTTAGATTTATTGCCGTCATAATCTACGGTTGACTGGAAGAAATCTCTTTTAAAAATAAGTTCGCCTTTGCTAACATTGTTATTAACTTATTGTTGTTATTGTGTGTTTTAGTGCAAAAAAAAAATTATATATATAGGGATAAGTCCTTATTAATATAACAGTACAAACAATATAATTATATCAGCCATAAACTGTTGTTGCAATCACTCTGGTCATGTAAGGACAGTCACATTTCGCATTGAGACTCTAGCACAAGATTACCAAATACTGACATGCTTGTAATTTTAAATAACTATAGGCTGACTGACTTTATCATTAAAGTTAAATTATTCTTGATCAACTTGTTTGCCTGTTTTACAATTTATATCTTCCGATCACTGATTCTGATTATTCTAATTTATATTCTCCATGCGAACATGGAGAATAGAATTGCATAATTACTAAGTGCACACTGCACTTAAATAACAATATAACAAATACTTAATTCCTTTTGACAATAATAATAGATACTAATATATAAATGATGACTTTATTTGCCTGAATACAGGTTATTATATTAGAAGTACTTAATGTTCAAAACAGTATCTCTTCATAATGCATACGAGATAATTAATTGATTAAAGATTCGGATTCAGAAAGATTCGGTTATATTTTTTATGTTTGTCATCTTATAAATCCGTCAGTTCTAAATCGATTTGGAAAATTATTTTTTACATCTGGGAGGATGTAGTTACAGATCAGTTTCATTGAAATTTTATTAAAAAACAATTCAATAGTTAACTTTTTAACTAACAAAATAACTGGTATTGTCACAATTTAAGTCGCTTTATTTTGATATACAAGCTTTAATTATTCGGAAATATATTTGTCAAATAAGTTTTCTTGAAATAAATTCACAATTTTAACTTTCTATTCAAATTATGAAAGTATTGTCTATGTATAACTAATTAATAAAGTAAAGACGCGCAGTCGATAAAATGTTAAATTGCAAAAAGTGCAACAGTCGACTGAGCACAAACATCGCATGCCCCAGCCACCGAGTTGCAGTTGCAGTTATTTATGCAAGAGTTATGCAACTTGTAGGTATATGGGTCAGTATAAATGGTCGCGACAGTACCTAACCGCTTTAATACTATAAGTTATGTGAGAAATTACCATTAATTAAACATTATTTTCTCCTTTCGACATTACTTGTTCATTATATAGATACACCTGCAAATTACATCATGAACACTATCTACATAACAAAAATATCAGATAGATTATCTTTTCTCACCATAAAATTACACAATAGATTAAGTTTAATAATTAGACACTTTAACCTTTTGCTACAATACGCGGAAAAAATTAATTCTCTTTTCTATTTACTTAGTTAATCATGTGAGGATGGACCTTTGGTCATAGGCGTTTTTATTGGGGGAATGAGTGAGTCGTGCCCGCCCAGGATGCGAGTGGAGCTTTTAACTATAAGACGTATCTAATAATGCCAATTTTAACAGGACCCCCTCCACCTTCGCATCCTGGAAAATAATTTTAAATACCCCAATTCCTCTGGTAATAAGTTCCCAATGTAGTATCGGATAAAATGGAAGATTTTTAAATTCTATTTTTTATTGTGAAACAGAATTATATTAAGTCTTAAAGTATCTGGACCTTACTTGGAGAACAAGGAGAGTATATTTGTTGTTTTGTTATGTCTAGAAAAACGTAAGGCATTACCAACGTTAAACTTTTTTAACAATGTTACATATTGACACCGTAAGTTTATAAAATTTTTATATTTTATGCTAAAGTTTGATGAATATGGAATAGTAACCGCGCTTATACTGATAGCGCAGATATTCTGGCGAGTTATTAATTAGGTCCTATCCTGGTAAATTCATTAAAAATTAACCACGATGATTTTTAGGGAGAACGGCGTTGAGGAGAACCTGGCCCTCTATTACTAACAATCTCATCCCCTTAAGCGCTGGTCATCATCATAATCATCATTTCAGTCATTATCAGTCCGCTGCTGGACATAGGCCTCCCCTATAGACTGCCATAAGGAAAGGTCTTGAGCCACCTGCATCCACCAACTCCCTGCAATGTATTTTAGGTTGTCACTCCATCTAGCCCCACTAGACTAGGTCATCCTACACTGCGTTTGCCCGTACAGGGTCGCCGTGCTGAAACATCACGTGAATTGTTGCAATATGATTAATTTCGTATATTCAATAGAATTTAATAGCTAGTTCGCACTGAGGACGTATAACGGACTAGAACAATTTCTTCAGCATGTTAATTAATTCTTTCATTATTCGTGTAAAGTGACTCTTTTAACTCTCCAGGAGAGTATTTCTGGGGCGTATATGTAAAAGCCCATTTAATATAAGTAAAAAATCACCTTCCAAAATTCTGTATGTCGTAACAACTTCCACGTACAATGGTAATGGTGGTTGATTAAGGTGCTATTACGCAAGCTAATTACAGGGTAATAACAGGAAAAATTCTGACGGTTAGTGAAATGGCGTACGAGGTTCGGTCCTTTTTTGACTTGGATTTCCACGTTAATAAGTTTACTTTTTTAAACAAACTAACAACAAGCCTCGACTTCGCATGTTTTTTTTAAATAGTCCATGTTAATTGCTGTTAATGAAGTTTTTTATAGTTGGAATAACTTTTAAAGCTATGGAAATATTTTTAAGTAATTATTAACATTAAAACAATAATAAACTTTTTCACTTTATAACACTAGTTTAGATTTCAATTGATTATTTTCATATTTCTTAGTCATATAATTGAATGTTGATAAATTATCCATTTGAGACACATGGCAAATTTATCGGAGGGGACTCTCTCTCTCTCCCTCGCAAGTAGATGCTTTTTTAATAAGCATCTACTTACAGAAGAAATAATTGCCAAAAAACTGTGGTGCTGTTTGAAATAATGTCTATATCGTAAATTACTTCTTTAACATTGATTTACTAAATTAAAGAAAAAAATATTTCTTACACAGAAAATATGAACCTTTTACAAGAAACTTATTCTTAGTAATATCCTATCAGTGAATTTTAAAAATGGTAACTACTTAGCTTTCTTTTCCTGCTATTAAAAGTAAAAAATGATATTGATTTATAAACGAGACTATATTTATTGGTACAATACATACACCTTTTGCTAAATGAGTCAGTGCTGAGTGATCTCAGATATTACAGTTACGACTTCAACCTTCCTTTTAAGTATATTTTAGTCG